TATTCTATTCTATTCTATTCTATTCTATTCTATTCTATTCTATTCTAACTTCCAGAAAGGTATAAGCATCTACTGTTATAATAATGTTAAATTGTTAAGGTGCCACAAATGAGTATATATGTTTCTCTCTGTGTGTGTGTGTGTGTGTTCTGCTGAACAAAGTTCCGAAATCACCTGCTGCATAGATTCGACATTCCAGATGCGAATGGTATTGTCTTCGGACACCGTCGCCAGCTGTTTCTGGGAACTGTCCACTGAAAACGCCAAGACCGTGCCCACGTGGGATCGCATAATCGTGCAGTAATTCCTCGACTGGATGTCCAGGCAGCCCACGTTCCCGGTGGCAGTGGTGCACAAAACCTTCAGGTTGTCTGGGCTGATTCGAACCGAACTCACTGGATTGTTGTGCTCTGGAAGAAAGATTATGCCAGCTTAGTCCGCTATTCAGGTGACATGGTTAGATTCACTGGACGGTGAGACATCTGGAGTTTCTTGGTGATGATGCAAATGAGATAAGGTGAGATGAGGTGGGATGGGATAAGATGATGGGGAAAGGTAAGGTAAGGTAGGACAGGATAGGACAAGATAAGAAAAGACAACTTTTATTGTCGTTTTTTACTGTGAGCGCACTGGAACATATTAAAAATGAGATCCTGTTCCCTGCTCTCAAAAGAAAGTACTTATCTACCCATACCCATACATAACACATATATACACATGCTACATATATACATGCACATATATTGTCAACCCTGAAGCGAACCTGACCGAAGCCATTTTTGACAGTTTCTGTGTTGCCACACTGGAGCTGAGTGGATAGGGAGTGGGGATTTGAGATAGCTGGGATTTTGTAGCCAAAACAAAAATATTTTCTCTTGGTCGGAGGAAGACAGAGTGATGTCACCTGGCAGCCAGACTGCACCATGATTGGACCATGTGATTGTTTTGGGAAAGTGGGAAAATTTTTAATTAGGTGAAAACCGTGGAAGTCTACCTAGCTTGTGATCTTTAAGCTCTACGCACCTGCCTCCAGGAAGACTTCTGAGAAATCCAATGGCCATAGGCGCAGGTAGCCATCATCAGAGGCAGTGGCACAGAAACTTGAAGAGAGGCAGATGCTGTTTAGGGATATCCCAGGACCTGGAGGGGGAAGAAGAAGAAAAAACAGATTCTGCCTTCAGGTGCTTTGGAGAATAGCTTGACTCCCTCTTCTTTGGGGCAGCCCTTGAGATACTGGAACTCTGCCATCATGTCATCCCAAGTCTTTCTTTTCATCAGACTAGACATACCCAGTTCCAGCAACCGTTCTTCATATATTTTATCCTCCAGTCTCCTAACCATCTTCGTTGTTCTTCTTTGCACTCTTTATAGAGTCTCAACATCTTTTTTTACATCGTGGCGAGATTGTCCAATGAAACACCCATACGAGTCGAACATGTTCACCAGCCTCCCAAAGTTAGAAATGGCTGTAATAACTGAGCACCTGGGAGGTTCCCAGAAACACGAGCTGATACCTGAATTAAAAGCTTGCTTCTCTCGCTGAGGAGCGGGTCCCGTCTCCAAGGGCAAAAGGCGACGGACATTTTTGACAGTGACATTCTTGTAGTCAATTTCTAAAACATGCCCACTTCTGCTGCAAACAAACCTAGGGGAGGAAGGGAGGGAGGGAGGAATTGCTTTAATTCTTAAATCAGTTTTCTCTTATGGCTTGTAGCCATTGTGTCACCACTAAGTCACTCTGATAATGGCAGTGAAAAAAGAATCTTTCCCTTAAATAGACATTGCATTATGTAAACCAGTGTCAAGACCCCTATGGAACCTGGTTATGGAGCAACATCCTATATTTCCCTGCTAAAATATGCAGGAGGCAAAAAGGGGCTGGGGGGGAAACTGTGAAGATTTCCTTGCTGAAAAATTGTCCTTGC